TGTAAGCCAATTGCCCCCAACTAGCTGGGTACTCATTTTACCGACCTATAAAAGGATGTCAGGTTGAGTCCTACCTGGGATCGAACTCACAACCTTGTGGCTGCAGTATAGGCATTTAACCACTGCATCACCAGGGCTCCCTAACTTTCTAGGAAGAAGCAACACCAGTGCTGTGCTCCATGACCGTTTGCTTTGAATTCTACTTGGACTCCTAACTAAACTACCCTTTGGACTTGCCTGGTCTGTGTACCAAACCATGTACGATTCTTGGATCAGACTGGACTACCTCTGCTTCTCAGCAGACATCTTGGTGGGTACTGACTACCTCCCTGTAACTCCGTGGGATGCTGTGCTTTTTGTGCTGTGAATCTGGATTGCCTCCCAAGAGCAAGAGCTCTTCCAGACCCAGCACTTGCAAGTCAGGTTTGGGAGGCACATGGCTGTCACTCCAGATTCTTCAAGAGCAAGTCAGCTGTGATGTCTTATGTCTAAGGGTAACTCTAGACTAATAAGTGACCAAAGTAGTTTCTAATCTACAGAAGTGCAGAGATTTCTAACATATTCCTTAACACGTGTGGTTTGTAATGTTATTCTTGCTTGGGTTTTGAGTTCCTGTTTGAATTTCTGACTAATAGGCAATGACAATAACCAAGCAGAATTCTCCAGTTACCCAATGCCAAAATAAAAAAGTATTCCTAGCTTCAGAATACCCTGCGAGAAATTGATGGAGTCATTAGAGGAGAAGGCACATAAACATAGACACAGCTGAATGAAAAGATCATCCCACTCTATTTCCACACTTATCATGGGTGCCAAAGGGGAATGGACTATGTAGTCAAATGTTCTTGAGGGATTGGGGGAAAATTTGCAACAGAGGCTTACAACCACTACCTCTTCCTTTTCTTCCAGAAGATTCATGGTGATGTTGGAAGTGGCGACAGATGTTTGGGCAACCTTGCGACATCTTCCTAATAGCCCAGATCATTATGACATCTTGAGACTGAGGTGGAGAAATGGCCGCTGACTCCCCAAAATGGCAGGGAGTCAACAACAAAGTGGCTCTTTCTGGATGAGGGTGTGGTAGTAAAATTCAGTACTGAGAAATGTTGGCTCAGATGTACTTCATGTCCTTTTAACGGACAGTGTAAGATTAAAGCTGACACCTTTTGCGTGCAAAGTATGTGCTCGGCCAGTGAGTCCCTCCCATAACTTGTCTGAAAACTTTTGAGGTGACTCAAAAGCTTAAATTGCATTAATCATTTCAGCTGAGTAGCATCACATTTCCTTTATGCCTCATTCTGTCAGCGAGAGGGAACTGTGCTTTCTACCATAAATACCAGTTTGTGCGGGCTGATAATCGTATCAAATTATCCAACAGATTTCATTATAAATTATTCAGCGTGTAGTTGAAACAAGATGAC